ATGGAAATTAAGGACTTATTGGAAACTGGAGCAAAGTTCACCCTGTTATGCCCTAGCAAATAACTTGGCTACATTCTGTTCATGTCCCATGGATGTGTGAAAGTTTGAACTTGAGAGACATGACCTTTCTTTTTCTTTTTTTCTTTCTTTCTTTTTCTTTTTTTTTTTGAGAGTCTTGCTGTTGTTCTCCAGGCTGGAATGCAATGGCATGACCTTGGCTCACTGCAACCTCCACCTCCTGGGTTCAAGTAATTCTCCTACCTCAGCCTCCTAAGTAGCTGGGATTACAGGCACCTGCCACCACGTCCAGCTATTTTTTATATTTTTAATAAAAACAGGGTTTCACATGTTGGCCAGGCTGGTCTTGAACTCCTGATTCCTTAATCCACCTACCTTGGCCTCCCAAAGTGCTGGGATTACAGGCGCGAGCCACTGTGCCCAGCCTGGAGGAAGAACTTTCTAAGCAGTAACACATTTAAGATGCAAACTGGCTGCTTCTAACAACATATGCTAAGATGCAATAGCAAAGAAATGACTTGGAGTTGGAAGTTGTATTTTAAAGGAAAGCAGAGCATAAACATTTGAAAAATGTGCAGTCTTATCATGTGACAGAGAAAGAAAGAGTTCTTTTGGGAGAGGAATTCAAGGAGGCTGTAGAGCAACCATTTGCTAAAAAGATTTGCATAACTAAAAGGGAATCGAATGATAATGTCCAAGACAATGAATAAAAGGCCTTTGAAGGCATTTCAGAGATCTCTGAGGTCGCTAGCCCCTTGCAATAGAGGCCCAGGATGACTGAATGTTTTAAGGGCCAACCCAGGGGCACCACTGCCTTGCAACACCTTAGGAAGCTGCTCCTCACATCATGGCCACTGCACCTCTGGTTCCAGCCTCTGCTCAAAGGGGCCCAGCTAACTCAGGCTGCTGTTCTAGAGGGAACAAGGTATAAACCTTACTGGCATCCATGTAGGTTAAGCCTGTAAGTTCACAGAGTGCACGAGTAAAGGAGGCGTGGCATCCTCCACCTAGATTTCAGAGGATACATAACATCCAGGCAGAAGTCTGCTGCCAGGGTGGAGCCCTCACAGAGAACCTATACTAGGACAATGCAGAAGAGAGTTGGAGGCCCCAAACAGATTCCCCACTGGGGCACTGCCTAGTGGAGCTATAAGAAGAGAGCTACCATCCTCCGTATCCCAGAATGGTAGATACACCAGCAGCTTGCACGCTGTGCCTGGAAAAGTCACAGGCACTCAACTCCAACCTGGGAGAGAAGCCATGAGAGTTGAACCATGCAAAGCCACAGCGGGTGGAGCTGCCCAAGGTGTTGGGAGCCCACCCCTTGCAACAGTGTGCCCTGAATGTGGGACATGGAGTCATAAAAGATTATTTTCAAGCTGCCCTGATGGGTTTTGAACTTGCATGGGGCCTGTAGCCCCTTTCTTTTGGCTGATTTATTCCTTTTAGAACAGGAATGTTTACCCAATGCCTATACCCCCATTGTATCTTGGAAGTACATAACTTGTTTTTGATTTTATAAACTCATAGGTGGAAAGTAATTGCCTTGTCTCAGATGAGACTTTGGAATTTTGAGTTAACACAGGATTGAGTTAAGAATAAATTTCAGGGACTATTGGGAAAGCATGATTGTTTTTGCAATGTGAAGAGGACATAAAATTTGGAGAGCCAGGGGAAGAACAATATAGTTTGAATATATATCCCTGCCAAATCACATGCTGAATTGTAATCCCCAGTGTTGGAAGTGGGGCCTGGTGGGAGGTGTTTGGGTCACTGGGGGGCAGATCCCTCACGACTTGGTGCTGTCCTTGCAATAGTGGGTGAGTTCTCAGTATATCTGTTTTTCAAAGTGTATGTGGCACCTCTCCTGACACTCTTTCTTGTTCCCATTCTCACCATGTGATATGCCTGCTCCCACTTTATCTTCCACCGTGAGTAAAAGCTCCTTCAGGCCTCCCCAGAATTTGAGCAGATGGCAGAACCATGCTTTCTGTATATCCTGTAGAGTTGTGAACCAATTAAACCTCTTTTCTTTATATATTACCCTGTCTCAGGTCTTTCTTTACAGCTATGCAAGAACGACCTAACACTGACCTGTAAGTGCTCCTCCCATTCCCCTTCCTCACTTCAATATACCCCACCTCTTTAGGCTGAACAAATGTATACCTTCCATATGGTGATTTGTGATTTTACCTATGATTCCTGTCTCCCTAAAATATATAAACTCAAACTGTAACTGAATTGCCTTGGACACACTTTCTCATAAGGCTGTTCCCTGGGCCATGGTCACTAATACTGGCTCAGAAGAAACTTCTTTATATATTTCATAGAATTCTTTTGGTCAACAATCTTGCAATTAATATGTCTTTTTGTAATTCTGTGTTCCTAGGCTGCAAACTTCACAGGTATTTCTTAGCTTTTTTTCTCCTTCTAGTGAGTAAAGAGGACTAGAGGGAGCTGGAGTAGGATAACACCCTTCCATGAGGTGGGATAAGGCTCTGGTAAAGTATTTCTTGTGGAGAGGAGGCCTTTGTTATGGATAATGCTCTGTGCATGTTTCAAAGGGCTATGCTTTCCCTCCTCCTGCCAGGGCCAGGAGGGGCTGTTTCTCACATCTTCATCACGAGAACCTGATGGATTTTCTAGAGATAAATCCCATCAAAGTGTGTCCTTCAAGACTTCTGTCACTAGTTGTTTGTTTCTCATTCTTATAGTACTCTATACTCAGCCTCCAGCAATTTACCAATTTATCATTTTTTTTCTACCAGTTTTTGGCTTCAGCAGCTACTGCTTCAGATAAACATATTTCAGCAGTGACTCTCAAGATTCACCCATTGGTCTGGATTTTGGGGTGGTGGTTTGCCCTGTGGCCTCAGTTTTCTGATAGATTCAAGAAAATTTGTTTATTTTTAGCTTGTTCAGCTTTTTCTTATTGTAAGAATAAGAGTAATAACTTCTAAGATGTTTACATATTGGAGCTGAAACCAAATATTTATCAAATTGTTCTTTAGGTAGGAAATATATTGCTCATGAATTACATTCTTCCTTGATTTGTTCAATCTCGTTCATATATATGTGTGTGTGTATATATATATGTGTGTGTAAATAAATAAATATATATAGAGAGAGAGTTCTGGGATACATGTGCAGAACATGCTGGTTTGTTACATAGGTGTACATGTGCCATGGTGGTTTACTGCACCCATCAACCCGTCATCTACATTAGGTATTTCTCCTAATACTATCCCTCCCCTAGCCCCCAACCCCCCGACAGGCCCTGGTGTGTGATGTTCCCCTCCCTGTGTAGTGAACTTTCATTCATAATTGCTACAAAGAGAATAAAATACCTAGGGATACAACTTATAAGGGATGTGAAGGACCTTTTCAAGGAGAACTGCAAACAACTGCTCAAGGAAATAAGAGAGGACACAAACAAATGGAAGAATAGTCCATCCTCAGGAATAGGAAGAATAAATATCATGAAAATTGACATACTGCCTAAAGGAATTTATAGATTCAATGTTATCCTCATCAAGCTACCACTGACTTCACAGTATTAGGATTCACAGAATTAGAAAAAAACTACTTTAAATATCATATGGAACCAAAAAAGACACTGTATAGCCAAGACAATCCTAAGCAAAAAGAACAAAGCTGGAGGCGTCACACTACCTGACTTCAAACGATACTACAAGGCTATAGTAATGAAAACAGCATGGTACTGATACCAAAACAGATATATAGACTAATGGAACAGAACAGAGGCCTCAGAAATAATGCCACACATCTACAACCATCTGATCTTTGACAGACCTGACACAATCAAGCAATGAGGAAAGGATTCCTTATTTAATAAATTGTGTTGGGAAAACTGGCTAACCATAGGCAGAAAACTGAAACTGGACCCCTTCCTTACAACTTATACAAAAATTAACTCAAGATAGATTAAAGACTTAAACATAAGACCTAAAATCATAAAATCCCTAGAAGAAAACCTAGGCAATACCATTCAGGACATAGGCATGGGCAAAGACTTCATGGCTAAAACACTAAAAGCAATGGCAACAAAATCCAAAATAGATAAATGGGATCTAATTAACTAAAGAGCTTCTCCACAGCAAAAGCAACTATCATCAGAGTGAACAGGCAACCTACAGAATGGGAGAAAATTTTTGCAATCTGTCCATCTGACAAAGGGCTAATCTCCAGAATCTACAAGGAACTTAAACAAATTTACAAGAAAAAAAAAACAACCCCATCAAAAAGTGGGTGAAGGATATGAACAGATACTTCTCAAAAGAAGACATTTGTGCAGCCAACAAACATATGGAAAAAAGCTTATCATCCTTGGTCATTAGAGAAATGCAAATTAAAACCACAATGAGATACCATCTCATGCCAGCTAGAATGGTGATCATTAAAAAGTCAGGAAACAACAGACGCTGGAGAGGATATAGAGAAACAGGAAGGCTTTTACATTGTTGGTGGGAGTGTAAATTATTTCAACCATTGTGGAAGACATGTGATGATTCCTCAAAGATCTAGATCCAGAAATATCATTTGACCCAGCAATCCCATTGCTGGGTATATACCCAAAGTATTATAAATTATTCTGCTATAAAGACACATGCACACTTATGTTTATTGCAGCACTATTCACAATAGAAAAAACTTGAAATCAACCCAAATGCCCATCAATGATAGACTGGATAAAGAAAATGTGATACATACACACCATGGAATACTACGCAGCCATAAAAGAGGATGAGTTCATGTCCTTTCCAGAGACATGGATGAAGCTAGAAACCATCATTCTCAGCAAACTAATACAGGAACAGAAAACCAAACACAGCATATTCAATCTCATTCTTAACAGCATTCCCCAAATGATCTTGACTCATGTATTTTCCAATTTGCAAAAAATCCATCGAAAATCATTATAAGATTTAACAACTTCAAAATTGATAATCAGAAGTTTACATCTATTCAACCTCTATCTGTGAACTTACCGTCTCTTTGCAGCCTCTCCCATATTTAAAACAGACATCTAAGAATTCAACTGGCTGATAGATTTATACAGTAAAACCAGAGACCTGAGAAAGAAAATACCCAGAGAATAAGTGTCTTGGATCTAATATCTTTAACTAGAAACAAAGACAATATTAGATATGCAAAGAACCTATACAATAACTATTATTATAATCAACTAAGCACTTAGGAATGAACACTAATTATGTCATAGATATAGTCATAGGAATGTCCTGGTAAAAATATACTTGTTGGATGTTTTAGTATAAATGTGCTGGTAAAATAAACACAAACCACATAGATTTCTTTCACTTATCTATTTTGAAAAATTTGGAGATATTTAAACTTACCCATTGTTCCTCTTTATCTCCTTGTTGAATTCTCAGTCATGCTGATATGTAAGATAGCTTGGGTAAGCACGAAGAGATCTAGTCCAACTCAGAGTCATTCCTATTTGAAATACAAACATGGCAGTATTCAATTAATGTTGACAGATCTGCTGTTCCAGGAGTTTACTTTAAGTTCTGATTTGGTGGCAGGATTGTCCTGGGAACCCCTGGAGAATCTGAGATGAGAACAGATTCAGATCAGTGTCCAAGCCAGAATCTCTGGGCTGAGCAGACAACTAAGAACAGAAAAAGGACTGGGTGTTTTCAGTACAAAGAGGATTTTCAATTATGAATGGTGGTGAACAAACTTTCTCTCTTTCAGTTAAGACAGGACAAAAGAGGGTGTTCTTAAGGGGTAGAGGGCTTCCAAGACATACTCTGACAGTTAAGAATGGAGACTGAAATAGATCACAAAGAACTGGAATAGTCTCATTCTTGAAGATTTGGAGGCTGGAGGGAGGATAGACTGATATCTATGTTTTTGTGACACTTTATGTAAAGTCTAGGTAACTTCTTGGGGTCTTGACTCTGCTAATGCACATATGTCAGTCTGCTAATGTGCATACGTAACAGTGCTTCTCACTGTTTTTAAACTTCATTTGTGAATCCCAGATCCCACACTTATTAAGTTGGAGTTGTTTAACAAGCTTGAATGATAGTTTTATCTATAGAACGGAGCTAACAGAACATATACCATGAAATACTTCTGAAATTGAAATAATTTCACATATTCAAAGTGCTGAAGATAATGCCTGGTGAATAGAAGGTACTCGAGACATAATACGTCATTTCTCCCTAAACACAGACACACGCACATACACACACACATAGTCAAACTGGCTGACTAAGAAACAATCCTTGTCCATGACAAAGATTTCAGATAAATAGCATATCACTGATTGTTAGAAAGGGTCCTTTATTTTATTGCAAAATAAATAAAAGTTTACTGGATATGAATTTCCTCATTTGTGGAGAGTGTTGCAATGTCATGACGGCTTAAGCAATGTTTTCACGTATGCACAGTTGTTGGGTAATCATGAAGATACTTAATTATAAACACTAACTCTTCAAAATTCAATGTGGGCAAGATCTTTGTTTTTCACAAAAGACAACTGAGCAATAAGACTTAGTATTTTTTAAATGTCTAAACTTCTTTGGGGAGATAGGTAATAAAGAAAATAAGAAGATATTTATTTGTGTTAAATGCCATCAGATATAAATAATGTGGGAACTAATTTCACTTGTAACTGTTTATAGTTTACTATATATCCAAGCTGGAAAACAGAAATAAATAATTTGATTATTCCTTTATCTAGTTTTTGTTTATTCATAAGCATAACATCTTTCTTCATTTTGGTTCTTGAGTTGACGTCAATTGCATATTGTAAATGCTGTAAAATAAACTTTATAAGCCTGAGCTTAAGTTTTTCTTTAGAATTTTTTTTAGAAACTATAAATATTGCAACATTTTTGGAACGGCTGCATATCTGAAGTCTTATTTTTTCAAGGACATAGCTAAGTTATTAAATGGATTAAATAAAGTCCCAAGAAGACCCTTGAAAGCACACATCATAATAATCTGAGAAAACATCTGAAAGATTCAGTAATTCTGTAGTTATCTGTAAAACTACAAGTCAACTAGTATTTGCTTTAAATACTCATAAAATTACTTATTCACTTAAACCTTAGTCACAGAGTATATGATACTATTACTGGCATTAAAATATAACAAATTTTACAAACAAATCCTTCCATTCACAGAGCTGTTATTTTTTCATTTATTTTAACATTCCTACTAGCTAAACTAATTCTGTTGATTCCACTGATTTGAGTGAGGGTAATTTTGCAGTAGCAAGATAAAAATATTATTGTTTGAAACAGAATGGACAGTGATCTGTTATAAGCTAAATGGTGTTTCTCCAAATTTCATATGTTAAAGTCCTAGCCCTTAGTAGCTCGGAATGTGATTGTATTTGGAGACAAAGTCTTCAAAAAAGTGATTAAGTTTAAAGGAGGTGGTTAGGGTAGGCCAGTATCCAATCTGAATGATGCCATAAGAAAAGGAAATTTGGGCATACAGAGAGATACCAGAAGCATTAGAACACTCAGAGGAAAGAACAGAGCTAGAAGACGGCTGTCCACAAGCCAGAAAGAGAGGCCTCAGGAGAAACCAAACTGGCTGACACCTTGATCTTAGCCCTCTAGCCTGCAAAACTGAGAAAATAACCTTTTGTTGTTTAAGCCGCCTAATCTGTAGTATTTTGTTATGGCAGCTCAAGCAAACTAATATAGATTTGATCTTTACAGCCCCTTAGGAGGAAAGTAAGACTATTCTTTCTTTCTTTTTTTTGAAACAGTCTCATTCTGTTGCCCAGGCTGTGAGTGAAGTGGCATAATCTTGTCTCAGTGCAACCTCCACCTCCTGGGCTCAAGAGATTCTCCTGCCTTAGCCATCTGAGTAGCTGGGATTAGAGGCATGCACTACCACACCTGGTTAATTTTTTGTATTTTTAGTAGAAATGAAATTGCACCATGTTGACAGAGCTGGTCTCAAACTCCTGGGCTGAAGTGATCCTCCTACCTTGGCCTCCCTAAAGTGCTGGGATTATAGGCATGAACCACCATGTCCGGCCGACTATGTGTATCATGTTGAAGATATGAAAGCATGTTTTATAAGGATAAGTTCCTAGAACCAATGTTGCTGGCTCAAAGATATATTGCTTCTTATATTTAAAATGTGATAATGTTTCCATTTCTTTATCAACCCAAGGGCTACACCATTAAACAGAAATAAAGCACCATTTATATAAAGAAAATTAGTCCTTTGCTTTAGGGATGACTTGTCATTATTTTGTTTGGACTTTGATTTTTTTATGATACTTTTTTTGACACCTCTAACATTTCATGTGGTTTAATTTTATTTGTCTTTTATTTTACAATTTCTGTTTCCTTGTCCACACTCAAGAAGGCTTTCACTTAAATATTACCAAAAAAAAAAAAAAAAAAAAATTCCCTTGCCTTCTCTAATACTTTCATAGCTTCATTTTTACGTTTAAATACTTGGTTCATCTAAAATTTGCTTTAATGCAAAGAGTAACTAAACAGCTTATTTTTTATATGCCTATTTCAATTTCTCAACATCATTTATGGAATAATCTATGTTCTTATGCACTGATCTGTAATGTTAGTGTTAAGACTCTATTCTATTGCTTCCTGTCTTTTGATTCTGTTTTACTTTATTGATGCAGACAGTCTTTTCCAAAAATTGACCAGTTGTTGTTTTGTTATTGTTGTATACAATCTCAAGCCTTTCCTTAGAGAGAATTTACATTATCATGATGCTGAGTGTTTCTATGCAAGAGTGGGGTATATTTTCCAATAGATTCAAATGTTCTTTTATCTCCCATAACAGCATTTTAATGTTTTGTTCATAGGGCTCTTACACATTTCTTTTTTTTTTTTCTCACTCTGTCACCCAGCCTGGAGTGCAGTGGCCGGATCTCAGCTCACTGCAAGCTCCGCCTCCCGGGTTTACGCCATTCTCCTGCCTCAGCCTCCCGAGTAGCCAGGACTACAGGCGCCCGCCACCTCGCCCGGCTAGTTTTTTCGGGGTTTCACCATGTTAGCCAGGATGGTCTCGATCTCCTGACCTCGTGATCCGCCCGTCTCGGCCTCCCAAAGTGCTGGGATTACAGGCTTGAGGCTCTTACACATTTCTTATTAAATTTATTCAGAGATATTAAAAATCATTCTGTGATTACTGTTTTCCATTTTATATTCTAATTGGTTATTGATTCTATATAGGAATGCCATTAAATTGTATATACAAATTGTTTTCAGCCATCTTACCGAAATACCTTTTTGACTGTAATAGTAAGAATAGTAGGAATTGTCTTATTTGTTCTGACAGGAGACTCGAGGTAATGTTAATATCCATGAACTAAATACTGGTTAATTAACATGGTGTATCAAGCAAAGCAGTACTCTACAACTCTGGAATAAATGACACAGCCTTGAATACACTGGCACTGAAAACATCTACAAATATGTAATGTTAGGTTAAAAAAAACCAAACTAGTGTTTCCAGTATGGTATGACAGTCCCTTGTTCAAAGCAGCTGTCAACCAGGGGGTCTCAAAGGCGCTAGGCATACAATATCATTTTCATTGTGCTTGGAGACCACAATCCTCAGGAATGGTAGAAAACACAAATTATATTATCAAAAGGCACCTCAGAAAACTGTCTAAAGAGATTCATCTCCCCTGGATTACTCTTCTTTCTATGGCATTAGTACATGTTAGAAATACCACTTCGAAGCTGGGTTTAAGTTCTTTCAAAATGTTGTATAGATGGCCTTTTCTCACCAATGGTTTCTTGCTGAACCAACAAGTCCCTGATTTGATCAGACATGTAACTTCTTTGGCCCATTTCCAACAGGAACTGAAACAACTGTCCCGAGGTGCAATCCCATGAACTAGAACCACCTCTATTCAACCCAGGGGACCTAGTACTGGTAAAGGCTCTTCCTTCCTTTTCTCTCTCTGTAGGCCTACATTGGGAGGGGCCTTCAACTGTGCTTCTTTCTACTCTTACATCAGTAAAGTTCACTGGAATAGATTCTTGGATTAATTATACTTGAGTAAAGTCTGGGAAACTGATGGAATTACCTCTGTTGACACAGAAGAGCACCTGAAGCAACAGTGTGAAGAAATCGGAGATGTCAAGCTAAAAATCACAAATCATAAGTGTCAATAATTAGCCTCTAATGGAGATCTTCTTTATAGTCTCACCTATGCTTGCTATACTCGCCTTTGTTCTGTTCCTCACCATAAGGCATCTTTGCCAAGGACCCCTTAATACTGAATGTCCCTGGGATTACCTACCCTCCTAAACAGCTATCTCTCCTCTAAAGTTTAATTGCCTTCCCCCATACAAGATTTAATTTCCTTCACTGGGGTGAAGTATCTGTGGCCACAACATTGTTTTCAGAATGATTAGTCTATTTTACTTCTCATTTCTGTTATCGTTGGCAATAGAGCTTTTCCTTTTAGCTCCTCGTTG